CACTCGCCACAGCACTCAGAAAACAATACACCAGCGTACTCGTATAAATATGGCCTCCATATCCACTCCAGCCCGGCGGCAACGTCGTACTCGGATACCACCTCACCGCAAACACCAACGGCAAACTATCCCCAATCGTAATCTTCGTATTCCTTGAGTGACTACTCACACTGTACGCCGTCGCCGCGTCGATTGTGCCTGGACTACTTTGTTTCGGAGCCGCATGGACTAGTAGGTTTAGATAGTTTCCCACGTGTAAGTGTGAGAGTTGCAATGTGCCTGCTAGTGCGACGATGAGCGGGGTGTAAGAAGAGGATTGAGAGCCGAGTGCGCCTTCTTGCGTTGAGGAGTCGGAGACGATGTATTGGGTTGCGAGGACGGAGGGGGGAAGGGGTTTCGAGGGGATGCGGCAGGAGAGGGGGGCGTCGTTGTGGATGTAGAATTCGAGGACTGCGAGTATGTTAGGAAAGGCTGGGGGGAGTTTTTTTGGTGGGATGGGGGGGAGGGGAGAGGAACGTACGGTGGAAGAATTCGTCCGTCACAAAATCTATGGTGCAGTTTACGTCTTTTTCGATGCCGAAGAAGAGTTCGAGTGGGCGGCCGGTTTCGTTGCAGACGGGGAAGGGTATGTATTGGAGGTGGCCGGCTGCGTCTGTGATCTGTTTTTGCTTTGGTTAGTTTTTCCGTTCTCCTCGGGTATGATGGCCGCGGCGTGGGTATGGCTAGAGACGTACATGTTCACCTGTTTCTCTGGGGAGGAAAGTATCAGTGTACGTTCTGTCGTCCTTTGTTTGCGACAAAAGGTAACTTACATGGTGCGATTCAGACAGCTGACGGGAATTGGCTCGCCGGGATTATATCCGCGTTGTTCTTCCAGAGTACCCAGCGGCTCCTGGCCGCTCAATGCCGTCGCCAGCGTGCTGAAGAAGGAGAAGAGGGCGACGGCTGGGAGCCAGGGTCTCTTGGATAATTTGGGTGGCATTCTGCTTTCCTTTTTTGCTGGTTCTTAACGATACGATTGTTGCGATTCGATTACGAAGACGTTTCAATGTTTGGTGATAGGCTGGTTATTGGGGGTACATTGCGCTGCGCACGAGGGCAGCTACGGGGCGTGGTTCAAGATGCGCCGTGTCAACTTGAGGACATGGTTGGGTCCACGGTTGGATGGCCTGTGCGCGCCTCAAGACCTCCGGGCCAACTCCGCAGTGGTTAGGGGATCCAATCATCCCACTTGGTCTCCAATTATGGGTTTGGTACGGTTGCAATATTTCCGTTATATGGGCGATGCAGTGCACCTGATAGAGTGAAGCAATGGCACAAGACAGTGGGGAGAGCAAATCGGTGGTAAAATGGTGTGCGTGGAATCTGATGTAAGATCATACCCGCATCACATGTCTTTGAGATATCGAGACCCCTATGCAGGCACATGCAAATGCTGTTATAATGCAGTCTGTGAACTTCGTACCTAACTCATACATGGCGCATCTTCTGGCTCCTGCGTCGTATACGCTCGGACATCTACCATCCCTTCCTCGTCAGCTCAGTGACTCGTCCAGTGACGTCCCTGAAGCCTTGCTTGAACCTCGCCCTCCACCTCTCTGACGCCAACCTCTTTCGTTTTAGACCTCCTCGCTCGTGAAACCTCTGTCTATTGAAGTCGGCCTTGACTTTGTTGCGCGCCACTAGACTGCCCAACATGCCAATTCCCCGCACAATGTCTCGTCCGCGGCTCGCATCCAGCTCCACTGTGCGTCCGTATGTTGGGTTAAGGCGCGGGTAGGAGGAGAACGTTTCTTCTTGTTGTACCGCTAGGCTGGATGCATCAGAAGGCTTGTTGGACAAGTTGGGGTTCAGCATCGAGTCGGGCAGCGCCATGGAGTCAAAGGCTAGGCCTGGTGGGCGAGAAGGCCGCGAGCGGGTTGCGTTTGAGAATTCGGCGCCAAATATACGATTGTTATTTGATCCTGATGCGGTGTTTTGTTGCATATATGGTGGTGGAGTCCGGTTGGTGGGTATGCCGCTGAAGAGAGAGTCGATTGTTCGCGTGGTTTCGTCTTGGGTGGGCTGTGATTGGGCTTGTGGCTGTGATTGTGCCTCTTTAGCCGCTTGATCAGAGATGTAGCGGATTATTGGCCTTTTTGATTCTCCCCCAGATGCATAGCTTTGGTCATTGCCGTCGTTCCTCGTCGATTCCGCCGGTCGAGTTGGGGTGTGAGAGAAGCCGCGGTGACATATCCATGGCCATGTCTGCTTGCCCATGTGCGCATGTGGCATACGGGCTACGGAAGACGGACGGAGCATCAGCTCGCCGAGGCATTTTGAAGCCATTGTCGACGTTGTGGTGCGCGACAAGATTCAATTGCGGATTCGCGGGGGTCGAGTATGCAGATGATGCACGTCGCAAACGCAAGTCCCAAATTCTTCGGAGGTTCGGTGAGGTCCGAGCGCCTTTACAGCTCTAAATCTAATCCGCGACTTGCTCTCTCTCTCACACACACACACCAACCTCTCGCCGCAGTGTCGCCTTCAACTGGACACCTTTTGTGAGAACTATATTTCTGAATTATATACTGTTTTGGGCTCTGCGACTGCGTATCTGTTCAACATGTACGGTTATCCTGGTATGTTCGCACATTCCTCCATCGCGGAAACAACTAACATGCGCAGGTGCTCCGGGCTACAATGGACCTCCAGGCTATGCAGGAGCTCCGCCTGGCATGGCCCCTCCTGGAATGGGTGTGTAAAGTTGCCCAATCAATTCAAACCCATACTAACAAAGTGCAGGTCCTCCAGGCGCTGCAGCTCCCCCTGGTGTAGCACCTCCGCCAGGTGTCGCAAACGCTCAGATGCCCCCAGCAGCAAACGGATCCCGCGCCCTTCCATCCGGCTGGCAGCCACCCGCAAGCATGCCAAACTTCAACTTCAACGCGCCCGTCATCCGTCTGGGAACACAAGGAGGTCGTCCTGGCGCGGCCGACAGCCCAGTAGGCGGCCGTAGAGATAATGGAGCACCACCCGCTCGTCGCGGGCTTGGTATGGACAGAGATGGCGATCGCCGAGATGGACCCCAGCCCGTCAATCCACCCACTCGCGAGGAAATCGCCAGGACCATTTTCGTTGGCAACATCCCGGATGGCGTTGGAGGTGATGAGGGCATGGAGCGCATTCTCGAGACGGCAGGAAAGTTGGTCCGATGGACGAGGGCAACCGATGCCAACAACAAGCCCCAGACATTCGGTTTTGCAGAATTCGCCGACGCGCAGAGCTTGGAAACAGCGGCGGAGATCTTCAAAGATATCCATGTACCCACAAAACGCCAGAAGCCTGGAGGCGCGGCAAAGAAAGAGGATGGCGAAGAGGAAGAGGTTGAGACTACCAAGTTGCACATCATGGTTGACGATGCCTCGATCAAATATGCCGAAGAGTGGAGCAAGACTCGAAACGAAGATGAGGCTACGGTTCAATTCCGCCTTGATAGCGCAAAGGAAGCCCTTTCCTCGGTCCTCGCAAGCTTCTTCAACCCACCTAATGCGCCCAACATGGAATACGCAGGCGATACAGTCATGCAAGACGCGCCGACACAAGATGGCGAGGATGTCGAGGTTGCGTTTGTCAACCTTGCTACTGGAGAGGACGAACTTGCAGACATTCCAGCCGAAATGCGCGAGGTGGTCGCCGCCGAGATAGCCGCCTTCCGCGACCGTTCCAACCAGCGCGACCGCGACCGTCTAAGGAGGGAAGAGGAGCTTGAGGCCGAAGAACGTCGCCGCAGTGGTCGGCGCGCAACACCACCATCCTCTGCTCCTAGTGGACCTGGGAATGCTAACGGTGTACCATTGGGTCCGAGGGCGGAACGAGGTGTTCAGGGTGCCCCCAGCGGACCCAAGGGGTCGCAATTCCCTCGCGATTATCAAGCTGGCGTCAATTTTGTGAATGGCGGTGCCGTGAACAATGGCGTCTACATTTCCCGGGAAGATGATGATGATTCCGCCAGCGACTCGGAACTTGAGCGCCGCCGTCAAAAGAAGCGTAACGACGAAGCCGAAGAAGCGTACAAGAAGCAGCTTCATCGATGGCTTAACACAGAACGCCGTACTGTGGCCTCGCTTGACCGTACGAACGACTATTTCAAGAACATGGATGCTGAGCGCGAGAAGGCTCGTGTCGCGCAGGCTAAGCAGCTCCGAGAGTTTGATGACGATCAAGAAGCAGCTTCCAGGCGCGATCTATACTACCGTGATCATAGCGATTGGATCCGTGAGCGCGAAAAGGTTCGTGGCCTCGAAGCTAAGGAAGACGCTATCGATCGAGACCAAGAGCGGCGTGAAATGGCTGCCCAGAAGCGACAGCAAGACCATGCTCGTGGTCAAGCCGATGCTTTCTTGGAAGAGCAAGGCGAGGAACTGATGCGCAGGGAGGAGCAACGCGAGCCAGCGCATTTCAAGATCTCTCTCGGTGCAGCTGCCAAGAAGCTTGAACAGACTGCGGCTCCTCGTCGCACCGCAGCCGACGTCGAAAACCTTCTCGAAGACGAAGATCTCACCGACCAGGCCGGTTCCAAGAAGCGAACGCTTATTCCCATCAACTTCGATGCTGCTGTTCGCGCCAATCTTACCCAAGAAGAGATTGAGGAAGCTCAGCGACAGCTTGCGCGTGACATTCCCAACGACAAGGAAGGCTTGTGGAACTGGGCAGTCTCTTGGGAGCACTTACCCGAGAAAAACATCAACAAGGATATCAAAGAATGGGCCGCCAACAAGGTTCTTGAGATTATGGGTGTTCAAGAAGAAATGCTTGTCGATGCTATTGTTGAACACTTGAAGAGCAGAGGCGCACCACAGCCTTTGGTGGAGAATTTGGAAGTTGTAAGAGTCCTCGCTCCAGTTTTTGTATATCCTGTTGCTAACAACCAGTCTAGGCCCTTGATGAGGAAGCAGAAGCTCTGGTCAAGAAGCTTTGGCGTATGGTCATCTACTACAGTGAGACTGAAAAGAGGGGAATTAAGTAGGCTTCTTGCCTATACATCTAAAGTAGCATTGTCGTTTAAGGTCAGATATTGCAATATGCTCAACTGAAAGCCAACAGTGGCTTGAGCATTCCCATGATTCGGGCGAGTGAGTATCTGGGCGATCCTGCCTTGGTTAGCTATTGACGCGTTGTAGGGTCCTCGGATCTTGCATCACGATACGAAGTGTAATTAATGGATATATGGAGAGAATGGAGTCTCAAGTCAGGTCTGTCCAGTCATTCTCGGTTGGTGCGTTATTAACAGACAGGCTCATTGCAATCCCTACACCAGTTGCAATTGGAGCTCATATACTGATGACCTCGCTTCCGCTATGCTCAGGGTAGGACTAGGGTACCTGGTGAGCCCAGTACTCTCAGGCTGACGGTGACATTTGGGGGCCTCTGCCTCCCCTCATCGCTGTAAAACCAAGGTTCTGTGATGAAAGGTAAGTTGCACGTAAGCTGTGATCCATACGTTTCCTCTATCTCTTGGAGACACGATGCTGTTGTTGCAGCATACGACAACGTCTTTCCAGCCTGGTAATGCGTTGTCAAACTCAAGCTTCTTGCCTAGACGCGAAGCATTTACGAGGCGTCTCCCTGTGCATGTCGACCAGGGTTCCATCCACTCGCAAGAGTGCTGGAAATACTTAGATGCGAGGTAAATAAATTATCGGGATCCGCGTCGGAGCGGTTGTAAAAGCCCCAGTTTTTGCCAGCCCCAGGTAGTGGCGTGGCTTAGTTCTTCCACGAATGACGAGGGGCAAGTGGGGTTGCGCTACGGCATTGTCACGATAGTTGAAGTGGATGGGTAGTCGCGTGGATGACTTGCTAGTCGAATAGAAGTCTAGATCTGTTCTCTTCTCATATAGAAAGGGACACTTTGCTTCATCAATCACTTCGCTTTTCCTCTCTTTTTCAATTTTGATCAGTTCTCGAAGGCAGTTTAGTTACTAAACAGACTTTGCGGGGTATCACGCTGCGTTCCGAAGACATTCCGAATCAGAATCACAGGACACATCACCACCATGGTTACGATTACAGGTGTTGAGACGAAGGACGTGCGGTTCCCGGTAGGTCTTATACAGAATTCAGGGCTTACGTTAGGGATTGAGAGGCTCATGAAGATATAGACGTCCCTTGACAAGACTGGCTCCGATGCTATGAATGCCGCTGGAGATTACTCTTCAGCATACTGCATCTTGCACACCGACTCAGAATTCAAAGGTCATGGCATGGTGAGTCAAATGTCTTGTTTTCCCACGAGTTATTCGAAAGAGTTGGATTTGTAGGACCATTGGCTCTGTGGGCATTGTGCTTCGGCGCAGTCCCTGAGCGTAAAAGACACTATTTCTCACAACAGAACGCCTGAACCATGACATGTTTCTAACCAGACACCAAGACCTTCACAATCGGCCGTGGAAATGAGATTGTATGCACTGCCATCACCCACCTAGCAGACCGCATCAAAGGCCACACTCTCGACTCCCTCGTCGCCAACTGGGGCAAGACCTGGCGTCATCTCGTCAACGACTCGCAACTCCGCTGGATCGGCCCCGAAAAAGGCGTCATCCACCTCGCCCTCGGCGCCGTCGTAAACGCCATCTGGGATCTCTGGGCCAAATCCCTTGGCAAGCCCGTCTGGCGCATAGTCGCAGACATGACCCCCCAGCAAATTGTCGACCTCATCGACTTCCGCTACATAACCGACGCCCTAACCCCAGCCGAAGCCCTCGAAATCCTCACAAAAGCCGAAGCAGGCAAGAAGGAACGCCTCCAGGAAGCCCTCGACAGCCGCGCCGTACCCGCCTACACTACCTCTGCGGGCTGGCTGGGTTACGGCGAGGACAAGATGCGAGGTCTGCTCCAGGACACGCTATCAAAGGGGTACAAGCATTTCAAGCTCAAGGTGGGAAGTGATATTGCGCAGGATAAGCAGCGTCTGAGTATTGCGCGCGAGATTATCGGGTTTGACCGCGGAAACGTGCTCATGGTTGATGCGAATCAGGTGTGGAGTGTGCCTGAGGCGATTGAGTATATGAAGGAGTTGAAGGAGTTTAAGCCGTGGTTTATTGAGGAGCCGACGAGTCCTGATGATGGTACGTTTACCTTCTCTTTTCCCTATCTACTTTTCTTAAGAAAGGAATGATAAACTGACGTGAACATAGTCCTCGGCCACAAAGCCATCCGCGAAGCCCTCAAACCCTACAACATCGGCGTCGCCACCGGCGAAATGTGCCAAAACCGCGTCATGTTCAAGCAATTCCTCGCGTCCGGCGCGATCGACATCTGCCAAATCGACGCCTGCCGTCTCGGTGGCGTAAACGAGGTTATCGCCGTGCTCCTCATGGCTGCCAAGTTCAACATCCCCATTGTACCGCACTCTGGTGGTGTGGGTCTGCCAGAGTACACGCAGCATCTTTCTACAATTGATTATGTGGTGGTGAGCGGCAAGAAGAGTGTCCTCGAGTATGTGGATCATTTGCATGAGCACTTTTTCCACCCGAGCAGGATTGAGAATGGGTATTATGTTACCCCCATGGATCCTGGCTATTCGGTTGAGATGAAGCCTGAGAGTATGGAGAAGTTTAGTTTCCCTGGTGGCAAGGATGGGTGGTGGCAGTCTGAAGAGGCGAGGCCGATTTTGGAGGGTGTGAAGATTTAGAGTCGTTGTAACTACTGGGTTTTGAAAAAGTAGAATTATGAATTATGTTTTTTTGGCACTGCTTGTTTAAAGATGTGCGCAGTATCATTCTATGTGCACGTGCTTTCAATGAGTCTTTTTTCTTGGAAGGATTACAATAATTCGTGCCAGGAAGTGAGAAGCGGACATTACTCTTACATGTTATGATTTATTATACAACAAAGCAAGTGATGTAAGAAGCGCATGTAACTGCTTTTGGCTTCAGTCATGGTCACACGCGTACCAATTTCATCTTTGGTCCCCACAATCTCACTCATGGTTCATGTTCTTGAGCCTGCCCTAACTACCCGTTCCATCACCCAATTGGCCTCGCTGTTCATGTTGTTCCGAGGGTTCGAAGGATATAGCAGCCCATAGGTATGTGTTGCTCTTTATTCGTTCAGAATCCAATCCCTTATTCATCACCATATTACGAATATGGAGTATTTGGTGGCGGAATGAACTGATACACTATTGCTAGCGTTGCCCTGAATTCGGGCAATCACTTTCGTTTTCCTGGTGTTTTGCTCACCCATATGATAATTACTCTTTGTACGGATTTGCCGTTTACACTGCATGGTCCAGGAAACAATGATTATCCAACATCCGTGTGTGCCATCGCCAAGAAGGTTCCACCTCTCCTTGTACGGATTTGAAAGGACACATGGACAACATGATACCATTTCAGAGCTCGATATCTACATCTCACTCTGCGGGAACATCTTGTAGGCCGTCTACTTCTCATTTGACTGTATATCTCAACATATATGCTCCAACAAAGTCAAATAGATCCGATGAGCCTTGGTTGTCGGATTTTGATACCTCAAAGTACGCCAACGCATGTATGCTTGCTGCTAACTTGTGACCCTATGCACACGGTCAGTTTCCATATCATAAAACAGATGTCCAACCTACCCAGGAAGAAGCAAAAGGCGGTATGTGTTGGGATTTCAAATTTTTGCGCTCTGATGTGCCTAGGCGGAGGTCGTTATTGCATCCGACAAGTACTCGTGGCACATCAGGGAAATAATCTCGAGCTTTTGCGTTGCACTTTGATAGTTAGTTCTGATTCCGTCAGGGTAACAAGTACAGTTATACATACTGTGCACGCTGTGTCAACGAAATCATTAGGCTTGTTGATGTCGACACAGATCAACAGCACATGGGTGTTCCCATCGAAATCACGACGCAATATTTCTTGTCTTTCCGTCTTACTGAAATCCTCCGCCGTACCTATATCCCACACATCAAGGCCAATCCCACAGCCTCTGATATTGACAACTGTCTTTCCGGTGTTTGGTATTGCAGATGTTACTGAGCCTGGTGTTGAGTGTTGGCTTGACGTCCATGCGCGGGCAAGACATGCTTTGCCGCACTCCGTATCTCCAAGCAATAACATCTTTCTCCATATTGGATTAGATAGTGTAGATGGTGCTGGTAAAATGGGCAGGCCAGACATCCAACTCGCTCGGTCCCGGTTCTGCTGTTCTTGATTCTGCTGCGGCAAATCGGCAGCACCATATATCCCTTCTAAACAGCTATGTTCATGAAGCCATGCAGCATCACGTGTCATTTTTGAGAAAGAAAGATAGCAAATAGGACAACGCGTACGACCCGGATATGCTGGAGGATTGTTACCCCCGGGTGTTGCACTGACAGGTCGGTATGCGTCCCACTCATCAAAAGATGGTGACATAGAGTAGGTCGATCCATCGTATGGTGTTGCATGTGAGGGGATTTTTGAAGCCCAACTTTGTACACTGGGGGTACCGTAGGTATGTATATCCGGGTAATCCGAGACAACGGTTGGGGCGTAACTCGCCCTTGGGATGCTCGGAAAGGCCAGGGAAGAACTTGCCGCAGCACGTCGGTCCGCTTTGCCACCTTTCAACGCGGCGTAGGATTTCGCTAGTAGTCTTCCTATGAACCCTGGGCCAGTGTATTGTTTATCTCTCATGCTTGAATCCGACGCATCATACCGTATCGGTGAATTTTCCCCAGATGTTGACTCATCACGCCAACTCCTTACAAAGTAGCCCGGATTATCTGGATATGAAGGCGTGTGAAATTCCAGATCAGGGGTAAATATACTAGCTGAAGGCGATGGAGGTACTGATGGAGGTACGAAGGGACCCTCCCACGGTGTAGGCAGTTTCCTTCTTTTAAGATCTTCAGTTGTGTCGATTGTAGGAGGCTGACTTCTTAAAAAACTTGAGCTCTCTTGATCCAGATTCCTAATTCTATCGTCTTTTGCTTCCATTAGCGTTGTTTCTGTGGAATGAGACCTCGAATGTGCGAGGGATGCTTCGACACGTTTCTTGGGATGAAGTAGTCGGCCATCCTCACCTCCAAACGCTACGATTTCGGTTTCCGTGTGTGGAAGATTCTCTTCTACAGACTCATGTGGCTGCAGCACTGTTTTATCCATCTTTTTTGTCGCTTCAATAGCAATATTTGGCTCAACTTGTAAGTCTAGGGTGGATGCAAGTTGTGGCTGAATGATAGCTGGATCCAATTCGGCGGACTGGGATTTTAAAGTCGAACGCTGCACACCCCCTGCATGGCCTGAAAGTAAAGCTGCATAGGCCTCTTCCTCATCTTCTTTGCCTTCCAGTTGGCATATCTTTATCAAAAATTCCAAACACCTTTCGTAATCCGTGTGCCCTTGGTCACCTAGTTTCTTAAATCCTCGCAGGGACCGACGAGCTTGAAGGTGAGCATCAACATAGTCTTGGTTCTTCATCAAAATCTCGGCGAGCTTCATAGTGTCCTTCAAGTAGATTGCGTCTTTTTTACCCACTTGGTGCTCGATGATCTGTAATTTCCCCCCCATTGTTGCTTTTGCCTCGGTCCATAAGCCCAATACGCAATAGCAATCGGTAATATGCTCCAACAGTTCGACCTTTGATACGCCGCAAACTGTCAAGCTTTGTGCTGTTGTGAGTGATGCATAACTCGTGTTTGAAGACAACCTCGTTAAGCAGTTCTGGAAACGACGTACCGCACCCGTCAAATCACCCTGCCTTTGGCGTCTATTGCCTTCTTTGAACAAGGATCTAATCATATCGTTCTCTATATCCGAGTCAGTATCTGAGTGGTACTCAGTCAATGCATCGCTAGTGCTAGTCTCGGGAGGGGCGGATATGGGAGCTTCCACATCCTCGTATTCATATACGGTATTTGAGGCGAACCAGCGCAGCATAGGTTCGTTGGCATCTTTGACAAAGATGTCGCCAAAATCAGAGCCACATCTGCCAGAAATCTTGTCGTTTGAATCTCCGTTAAGATTTGTTGATGCAGTTGACACAACTTCGGCGGCTGATCGAACACACTCCCGTAGATTGGTCATGTATTGGAGTTTGTAGTCATCTGGGTCATTCGGATCTACAACTGCGAATTGCAATTTCTCGATTTTTGCATTAAGAATGGCGCCAAATGAGCGGAATTCGTCGTAGAGCTTGTCCAGTGTTGGAACAATCTTATCTGGTATCTTTTCAGTCGATTTCTGGAAGGTTACCTGATTCCAACTAGAGGTTGATTAGTGAAAAGAAAAAGACAAATGGACGAGCAGAACTTTGGTGGGCGCTCATGTGGAAACCACGATCGTGGTCAGAATAACGTCAAAGGTTATGCTGACTTACAGGATGATTGTGCTAAGCGAAAGCTGAAGTGCAGTGTGAGAAGACTGGATCTGCTCCCGATATTGCGCAATTTGTCCAGAAGCGCTCTTCAGTCGGATAAGCTTCCGTTGAGTATCAAGCAGTGATGTCTTTTTGTTGACACCGTCCAGGAGGTCGTGTAACTTCTGCAAGGTGTCGGTGCCATCATTTAACGAGCGCGCGAGGTTTTTCCAGTGGCTGCCTGTATGCCCGGTCGATTGCAAGTTTGATTTGATGTCGTCCTGGTTAATAGTCTCCTTCATAGACTCGAGTACTCGCTTGAACCCTTCGACATCGCCGAGAAGGCCAGCGAGCGTCGTATCCACGGCGCTAGCCTCATTGCAGAACTGGCTGATCAGTACAGTCACTTGGACGGAGACGTGTATGAGCGTGACTATACTGGCAGTGATGGATAAAGGATCCGACATTCTCGGTCATTGTCTATCGCAACCGAAAACGACAGTAACGGTGGGAGATAGTGTTTTTGAACAGAGAAGGCTCCAGCGGGGCTGTGTCAGCTGGTGGCGCTTGAATTCAGCTTCGCAACCCAAAGCAGATCTAGCCGCCGATGAGGCTGTGATTGCCCTCATGATTGGTTTCTCATTCGGATCTGGAGTTTACGGGGCTGTTTTAAAGTGAATTCTTAAGCGCCAGTCGTGAGTGAGTAGAATACTAGCTACTAGAGCATGAGTGGTATTGAGGCAGGGCCCGAAATCTGACTATGTACTTGAGTTATGATCACGTGACCGTTGATTCCGAGCGTAGTAGTGGCACCTCACGTGATGCATTAGACTACATGTTCAAGCACCTCTTTTTGTATACTTAAGTCCTGCTTCTAAATTTACTAAAAGTATTCTCGGGTCAACAGTACGTTATTCATGACAAAGGTAAGTATGACACACTAATATTATTGAACTCTCTGAAGCTGCAGAGAAACCAAGAAACCAAACAAGACAAGTAACGATAAACGGAATGAATGGCCGAAATACAATCCGATAAGTACCATCACTACCTAATGCTGTCAATCACGTAAAATAAAACATCGACAGCACACCGCGAGCAGGCTTTATACCCACCTTCCAATCTTATCACCCCGAATCACTCCATGACCACTACTACATTCAACTCTCCACATTCCCAAGCAAACCCGCTCGATTCAATCACACACACACCCTTCCCTCGCATATCTACCTTACACCTACAAAACACATCAAGAACACCAAGTTTCACACCTCTTCCTCCTGCTAACCCAGAACAGCCCTTCCCGCGTCAACTTACCCTTCCCACCCTCCCCTGTTCCCAGTCACTCGCGTGGCCAAACCTCCCCAGTCCCGCGTATAAACCCACATTACCGCGCACGTGGAAATCAACGTCACGCAATCACTGTCATGAGAAGAGAAAGAAAAAGCGGGAAAACCTGAAACGAACACCTCAAACACGGCTTTGTGCGTTCGTTCTCTTTCTGAGGCACAAAACGGACCGGCATAAATATCTGGATTAGGAAGCTTGCTTTGAGATTCAATGTCCAGACGGGCCAATTGTTCAAAAAAAACTGTTGCAGGAACCCGCGTTTTGGGTGTTCGTTTGCATGCAAGAGCGGGGGCTTGTCCTTCTGACGGAGCTGGTTTGTACAGTTTGGAGGTAGGCTATTTAGTTGAAACTTGGGGCCTGGGTGGGTGCGAGCTGTCAGGCGCGCGTCAGATGTGTCGTATTGGGCGCCATGGGAGTGTCAAATGCTGGGACGGGAAGGGGGGGGGCATCTTTTTGAGCCCTTTTTTGAGTGGCTGTGCTGAGAGGGCTTGCGAGAGGTGATGGGATGGGGGGGATGTTGTGTGTAGTGGAAATGTGGGGAAATTGGGAATTGTGGGGACGGACGGGGCGGACGAGGGACGGGGAGGGGTTTGTGGTGAGGTGAGGGGTTCTTTTTTGTAATCATGGCGATTTTTCTAGAAGGGTAGTAAGATGGGTGATATAGTAGGGTTTGTGATATATTTTTTGCTTTTTGTGTTTGCTTATAGGAAGATATGATGATTACGCGTCTATGTCAGTTAGTTTTGATTTCCTTTTTGGCTAAAGTGTAATTGCGTCTTCGACCGTGCTTCGTAGTCCAAACCGAGGCAGCGAGGCATTTCACGGACTACGCGCGGCGGGAGAGAAGATGCGACATGTCGCGACGAAAAGAGTAGTAGAAGACCGGATAGCACGGGCGAATCGATAAAATCTGAATCCTTAGAGTGTTCATGTAGCGACTCCTAATTCTCTGTTTTCCTTATCATCGCGCTTGGGAGTCAAAAAGGCAAGAGCCAAGAACCTGGTTATTGGATTCAATGCCTTGCAGTCTTCGGTATCTTGGATACGTTGATGATAACGTGTATTGTATTGTGCAGAATTGTGGTTCAAGGCACCCACGGCGGAGAGTCTTGTTTCGCCCAGCCGCTGTCTGTAACCCATGGTGCATCAGAAGATGCTGAAACATGGCAAAGAGGTCTGCGCATGACATGAATCGCCTCCGAACCATCCCCCCTTCAATTAGCAGTACGCATGCCAACACCTCCAGTTCTATCCACTATGGGTATGATATAAGGACGAGGGCGCGAATCGGTTGATTCTAGGAAAACTACCACTGGTGTGCGCATTACTCGCAAACCCCAATATCATTCGTTCTCTATACATCTACTCTGAATCTTGTCCATACAGTCGTTACTGTAAAATCAAAGAAAATACCCCTTGCTCCAAATATGCGCATCGAAATCCCAATCGTTTGCTTAGCAGCAACTAGTGTCGTCGCTTCACCAATGTCTCCCCCTCTATCGCGGAGACAGGATGCTGGAGTTGGTGCAGGTGTTGCAAGTGTGGGAGCATGTCCCGTAAGTCGTCTACTACTACGATATAATGACTAGATGGGTTACTAACAATGATCTGCAGATGAACTGCTGGAACGAGGCAGCAGTAGTAGCGGGCTGCGATCCCAACACAGACGATGACTGCTTATGTGGTCCCTTTTTCGGCGCGGTGACTTCATGCACAGCGGGCGCGTGTAGTATTGGTGAAAACCTAGGTACGTCCATATCTTTCGTCTCTGCAATGACCACATACTGATACTTCCGGACATAGCTGCACTGGACTTTTTGAACGGACCATGCGAATAGAGGCATGACGATGATGACGAAGAAAAATCATGAGACTCGCGCAAAGCGGCAGATACGAGGATGTGTACGAATACAAGATGAAGGCAGAGACCCGGGAAACGGATACAAGCAGAGCGTCGGCTGTACAACTATACTTACCGTAGCTGGAAAAAAGTATCGACAGGCTTGGCAGTGGTACCAATAAAACCCATGGTACTAGTTTCCCATCATAATTGTGCTTTTCGTTGCAACCATGAATGGAGCTATTTTGAATCAGATGCAACCCCACATAACTGCAGCGTGTGATAAACAACCGCATGGCAGTGGGCCATGGACGCTATGCGCGTGATATTGTATGCAAGACAAAATTACCCAATATGGTTATCCAACACCGCAAGAAGATACTAATGCTTATCCTGTGTGGGGTTATGCGTACAGTGTCGGAATTCCAAATTGCTGTGCAGTAGCGGGGACAACCTTTGGCTGTACATGTTAGTCTCCGGGGAGCGCCAAACTATCATGGACCAATACGTAGCCGTATGTCCCCACTTAATACTGAGTTTCTCATTTGTTTCTTGTCAGAAGACCAACCGTATTCTGTCGTGAATATACTTACTCTTCTCGAACATATGGCGGTATAATGTACCATCTAATAGGCATGCCGTGTTCCAGAAACTGATATCGCTTCACGCGGCTCAACACCCCTACGTTGATTGGATGGACTAGGCAATAGTGAAGCCAGCCGGAGAGCACATGCAGGTTTGTGTTGTGTGCGCCTTCCGTTGCAGACGCGAGTTACGAAAGCTTGCGTTGCTCACCTGACAGAGTGACTCAACAAAAAGGATCCAACAAACAGATCTGGCAAGTTCCGTCCGGCATCGTGCTTCCGTAACTCAAACTTACACCTACACCAACATAGATATGTAGGTGTAGTGGGTGTACATAGATGTTTCCCATTCGGCTCGATGCGAATTGAGCTTCTCCTGGGTCTAGAGGTGGTGATGATGATCCCAGCGCAAACCTTCCCAGAACTAAAGGCAGATCGGCAGACTAGTTATTCCCCGCTGCCTATGCCCGGGCGTCATAGGAAATATGTGCAGATCAATGAGGGGAGAGGACGGTGTGACTTGTGATGACAACCATATTTGTGCAGACGGCAAGGAAGAGCGTGCTGTGGATATCATCAGCTTTTGGAAGGTATGTGTGGGGGATCAGTTGACGTAAGGTTGCGCGTCTCGTGGGCGATCATTGTGCAAACTGTGAGAAAACTGCCCTGGTTCTCATCTGGAATTGACGTACTGTGCGTGGGTGTAAAGTGGGTGTTTTTTTGAGGTTCTGAAGGGTCTGTGATGTGTGTTTGGTCCAAGGCTGTGCGATATTCGTCAGACGCTCCACTCTCTTTGCGGTCGAGTCGCCACTAAACGCTTGGCTTGTCTTTTGAAGTTTTTACTGTCGCGTGTTGGTTGTGCGAACAGATCTTCATGCCCCGAGGCCAGGGACATGACTCACTACGGTGAGTTTGGGCGGCGAAAGTCTCTTTGGTTGAATTGGTGGCAATATCTTTGTGCGAGAGCCCCTGAAAGCCACTGCCTCATCTCGATCAATGAGCCACAATCAACGGTGCGGGGCCCCAGAGAGCTTAACCGTGGATCAGCCGGCATCATCGGCCATGTCGGTGTTTGACGCATAACCTACTCTTTTTGACCAGACAGTCCACCATTACATCACCGGGGACCAATCGAGACCCTGAAGGTTCTAGACAAGAGACACATCATGTCAATATCACGATAGATGACGATTATAGACTGGGGCGGGTGAAGAGATTGTGGTAGCACTCTGGTGGAAGTGATGGTTCCGCCTGACCGAGCCGATTGTTGTCGGTGCAAGAACCCGACTTTTTCTTTGGCGGCTATGGTGTTCCGACATTGGGCGGCTGTCGCACATGGATGCGGACTGCGAGAAGCACCCCGCAAACGTACATGGCATGAAACTGTATCGCAGACTTGGAGGGTAATGCCCATGTTGTCTGAAACGGGACATGGAAAACGCCGGCATAATCGAAATTTCGGGGCTGGGGATGTGACGTCGGAGGGGGACAGTGCTTCCATGAAAGCTTCGACGAAGGCGTACCTTGCATAGGCCGAAGGAGTTGGGGCTAATAAGACGCCACCAACGCAGCATTCAGCGGAGCCCCATTGCTGTCAGCGATGGGGTTTCCGAGATTCTCCGATGCCACGTTCCATGATCAGGAGTTGGTCCCCTACTACGGTGTTGGCGTGCGAATTTTTCTGTCGGCTCGGCATAGGCGTATGCTCGGAGGAAGTAACCCCAAAGCGGGGCGAGCTATTGAGGGACTAGCTGGAGTCAAAAATTTCTCGAACATCAGATAAGAATAGCGGAGCCAGGGTGACTATGCAGGATTAATGTGGTGTATCGGTGCTCAGGTCGCGGTGGAATAAAGTGCAAACAATGGTGCATATGAAGTAAAGACGCCGCGTGATTGCGATTCACATAAAGGGCTTTCTTACCGAGGCCGTGAACGTCATCCAGCTCGGGACAGCCGGTCCGTCGCAGGGCAAAAGTCCCCACGATCTGCTCAGAAGCCAAGCACAGGGGCGGCGCCGACGACTGGGGTGCGCAAGGGCTCGAGCTGAAGATAGCCAGCAGTGGGTTATGCGGAAATGGCTTGCTCGTCCGACGTGGGCCTATACGACATGGGCAGCCCCCTTTGCCTTTGCACAGGGCGAGCCTCGGACGGCGCTGACTGATGAAGAAGAGGCAGCATGTGCATGCGTCTGTGTCGACGGACCCGGGAGCATTATCGGGTGATTTGATGGTCGGCAGAGATCGCCCTACGTTGGTCTACCGACTCAACCTTCACCTGAGTGTCCGGGACGATGCACAGAAGGCGGGCCGTAGTGGAGGGTAGAACAAAGTCGGCTTGGTGGCACGGTGCTCGAGCCCTTGGTGCGTGTGCGTGTGCGTGCAGCCAGCTGCGAGTGATGTCGCGATGCTGCGCGACGTGTAGTGTAGGAACGGACAGGTTGGCAACGACATGGTGGCTCGATAGTATTGTTCGCCCTCGCCGTGACCCCAGGTCTGGATCCCCCACAGTGATGAAATCAAAACGGAGCAGCGCCAGTCCCCGCCGGCTGCGGTGCAACGCGACTGACAGCCAGTGGGTAAATTGTGTGCGTGTTGGGGAGCATTATTGGCCATGTCATGCGGCCAATGAGGGTGGTCATGCGCGAAACCACTCGAGAGTCGCACGCATCCCACGAGTCTGAACAGTGCAACACCCAAGTCTGCCGAGATGACAATGCAAGGTCACTGGCAGTGGGAGCCAGTGACAGTGCCTCGTCGGGCAGCGAGTGGGCAGAGATGTGGGTGCTGGTGTTTTTTTGGCTGCTTAGACGCTCACTGCGTCGGGGGTGGCTGTGGGCTCTCTCTCGTCTCACGTCCAGAGGGGGGAGGGAGAGGGCAAGAATAGGGCAGCAGAGAAGGAGGCGCTCGACGAGCGTGGTCTGTCTGCACTGCACTGCACGATACGATATGATACGATACGATCTGATGGGACCATGGCATGGAAACACAACCAGACAAAACCTCCAGGTCATGGTGGTGACGTCTCCAGTCTCCAGAAACCTCCCCATACAAAGGCCGCCCTTATCTCTGCCCCAGCCTGGGAGTGCATAGCCACACATCCCCACGACTACCGCCTGCCTACTGCCTACTGTACGCATGTACATGTAGAAGACTCACCACCACCACTACCACCACCACCACCACCACGACGCAACCCCACCAGCAACGTTGCATCATTTGACTTGACGGCCTCACTGTCGACCCGTATACCCACGCAGCCACTGTACACCTGCTTGGGGACCCCGGCCGTCCGCTGGTACTCGCTGCACACTCCAACCACAGCCTCACCTTGTAGCGACTGGCGACCGCAGTGCGTTCGCCGACACTCACCGCTGCAAAATTTCGCATGCAGAATTCTCACGACTGCAAATTACGTCGCCGGACTCAACCAAAAAATCGACGCTCCACATCCCCAGCTGCTGAACCACCAGGCCAAGGCAGGTGCCGCTAGCCACGGTGCCATTGCATCGCTCGCAATCTCACCCGTCCTCTCCCACAACCCCCAAGGGATCGCCCAAAGTGACTGCGACACCGAAAAGGCCGCCGCTCCAGCTACACCCTGCACCCGCTGCACGCTGCCCTCCGCAAGTCATCACGCAAGTGTGCGTGAGGACCCGCATTTCCTGATACGTCTCCACGACTCGAGCGCCCCCCTCCCCCCCGAAAAATAGCCAAGGCGCACTGGCGCACCGCGTTTCTTTCTGCGCGAGCTCCGGCATATCCTCGCCCGCGTAAGCACAGACAGCCCTGACGGCCATCAGTCGACCCCCACACGCCGCCCGCCTAGTTTGATCCATACATATATCCGAGCCCCCCATCCGTCCCCCTTCCCCCCAAACTTTCCCCTCCGGTCACATGCAATCCAACTCTGCCTCGACAGGTTTCGCCAACCTGCTCAACCCCGAAACAGCTTCCCAGAACCAACAGCAACAACAACAACAACCCACCTCTACACCAACCGCCTCCATGGCCGCTGCCACCGTCAGCCTCATGGCGCCTCTTCTCCAGAACGCCCCGCAACAGACAGAGGAGCCTCGACAGGATCTTCCCAGGCCTTACAAGTGCCCTCTCTGTGACAAGGCCTTCCACCGTCTGGAGCACCAGACTCGCCACATCCGAACCCACACTGGAGAGAAGCCACACGCCTGCACTTTCCCTGGATGCACAAAGAGATTTTCTCGCTCTGACGAACTGACTCGGTATGTCTCCCTTCAAGTGCCTTTTTTTTTACCTGCGCACCAACTAACCCCGCCACGCAGACACTCGAGGATACATAACAACCCAAACTCGCGGCGAGGCAAGGGCCAGCAACATGCTGCTGCCCACCAAGCTGCCGTTGCCGCTGTACAGGCGGGTCTCATGGAGCCTGGATCTAACCTTGCACACATGATGCCTCCCCCATCAAAGCCCATTTCTCGCAGCGCCCCGGGTTCTCAACTAGGCTCACCCAACGTCTCGCCACCTCACTCCTTCTCCAACTACTCTCCTGGCATGAGCAACGACCTGGCCGCATACCACCAGGGCGGCTTGAGCAACAGCAGCAGCCCCAGCGGTCTTGCCCGCCCCATGGATCTCCTTGCTGATGCTGCGTCAAGACTGGAGCAACGTCCTGGACACATTTCCCACTCGAGTAGACATCACCTTACGAGCGGGTACCACCCTTACGCCAACCGACTGCCAGGCCTCTCTCAATACGCCTACTCGTCGCAGCCCATGTCAAGATCGCACTCACACGAGGACGACGACCCGTACTCGCACAGGATGACGAAGAAGTCGAGGCCAGGCTCACCGTCGTCGACTGCCCCGCCATCTCCAACATTTTCGCACGATTCCTGCAGTCCGACGCCAGACCACACGCCTCTGGCAACCCCTGCACACTCGCCAAGATTACGGCCCCACGGCTTCAGTGATCTCCAGCTACCACATCTACGTCATCTCAGCCTCAACCAAAACTTTGTGCCAGCACTTGCGCCCATGGAGCCGTCGACGGAGCGTGAACAACCGTACGTGCCAAGCCAGTCGTCGGGACTTCGTATTGGGGACATTATTTCCAAGCCTGAAGGTGCGCAGCGCAAATTGCCGGTTCCGCAAGTACCTAAGGTTGCGGTGCAAGATCTGCTCAATGGCCCGAGCAACAGCGGCTTCTCTTCCGGTAATAACTCCGCAACGGCGTCATTAGCCGGCGAAGACCTCTCGAATCGCAACTAAACCCACTCTCGACTCCAACTAGCATGGCATCGGCGTTTTCGGTCTGCATCCTCTGCTTTTTTTTTTTACTTTTTCACCTCTCTTGCATTTCGTCATTTTTTTCACGGTCAGCAAGCGATGAAATTAGACAAGGGCACACACACACAAAGACCTTTTTTTGTAGGGTGGAGCCTGTGGCATATTACGATTTCCCTAACACCACGGGCAAATAGACGTTTCTTTTGTAGCTATCTACTTGTACTTGTTCTACTTGTTTTCTTCTTCTTCCTTCATCTTCATCTTCTTCACTTATTTCCCAGTTGTTTTTGCCGGATTCAATACCCCGCGAAACCGCGCCAGGCGGTTCGCAATCTTGTATACGCCCCCGGGTCTGCCTCACTTTTGGAAGCTAGCTCGTGGGCAGGTTTGGAGGGGGTGGAGGGGTGGCTGGAGGGGTGTGCATGTTGGCAGTGCGGGGAGAGGGAGAGATGAGTAGAGGGTAGTTGCTCAGCTTAGCGCCTAATTGAAACCTGAAAGCAAAAGTCTTGTGTTAGTGCAGAAGTGGACAGTAGATTTCAATTTGCGATTACGAGATATTATGTTATGGACGAAGAAGATTTGCATGTGGGTGACGTGATAGAGGAGCCCGGTGATGCAAGCAGGGAGAATCATTCGTGGGGTAGGGGGCCAGGTTTGGGTGTGTATGCGAGAGCCCGGGGTTCTGGGGGGGGGACTGGAGTGGTGGTAGGCTATCTGGCAGGTCTCGGCAACGTCAAGTCTCGAAACAAGGAGGGAGGGCGGGCAGTCCATGTTCCCCGCAGATAAGTTTTGTTTGATCATTCGGAAGGGCGAGTGATGGCGGAGGGATGGGGGTTGGATGGGAGAGTGGGAGTGGGTGAGTGGGCTGGATGGTGCAAGCGTCACGCCAGCCCGCCGCCATGGTGCAAGCCTGGTTGCACCCGCACAGTGTTTTTTTTCTTCTGCATCTGCTCTCCCTCTGTCTCTCTCTCTTCGCGCCGAACCTGATCTTCCCCCCCTGCGGGGCGGGCGTGAGACACACTGGGCACCCCCAACGAGCAAGATGCGGTGAGGAGGGGGACCAACCAAGGGCGAGACGAGGGCCGTGTTTCAGTCAATGGCATGCTTGTGCGACCACGCCCGTCTCCAGCTAACAGTCGCTATTCTTGCACTTGCTCCCCCTTTCACATGCAGCGCGATAAGCCTCGTCCGCGTCTGATAATTCCGGTACAGACTGCGGCACCAGCGCTAGCGGGGCTTATGGCACAAAGGGACCTGGATTTTGCGGAGAGTGAGGAATGTGGAGTACGTGGCACAAGCACACATCGTGGCGCTGCCCATGCGCTAAAGCCTGGGGGCTGCCTGTAAGCATGCCCTGTATGCCTGCCTGCCTGCCTACCTGCCTGCCTGTGTGGTGTGGTATGTGGCATGTCTGAGTACGTACTTAGTACGTGGGTGGGCGTGGGTGCGTGGCTGTAGTTGCCCAAAGCGGAACACGCGTCCTCACTGCCTAAACGGGACACGATGCAGCCAGACTGCCTGCCAACCAAGCCAGCCAGCCAGCCTGGGGGTGGGCGGGCAGGTCGAGCGCGCAACACCAAGACTCCTCCAGACCCCATACTCACCACATCCATCCCTACTTCTCACTACTTGCTTAACTCACATGCATACTTTCGCCTACCTGCTAGGCACGTTGGCTGCGTTTCCGGCCCCATCCTTGTGGGGATCTATCGAATCGTCACTGCCCTTATCTCGACCTGTCCCCGGCGGCTTCACCCTTGCCAGCCGGGAACCAACGGATGCCTTCGCTCCACGCTGCCATTCGACAATGCCGATATCTGGCCAGCCCCAAGGGCTTGCCTCTCGCCAGAGCACAGTCTCAGATCCATGGGCGCGAATCCCTCCAATGACCCATCTATGGTCGACCCAAAGAAAATTTCTCCCGCCGGTTGATTGTGAGGATCATCTCTGCAGTGGTCCAGCTGGGCATGCACCCCGGACTGGAGCCCCATAGCATACGCCACGCTACTCCACAACGCGTAATCCGAGCTATGACGATCTCATACCTGTCTGACCGTACGAGCCGGCAGGTCTGGCGGCTTCTGCCTCCGCCGCCTCACCACGCCAGATTGCGGCGTCTGAACACGGTCGGCCCGGCAGGCGCGAAGCGAAGCGAAGGCGCACAACACACACACACACATGTGCGTATGTACGTACCTCGCCATGTACACATACACATGTACCTACCTGGACATATCTGTGCCCGCCGACACCATTGCTCGTTGAAAACCAGTACCAGAACAGCTACCGAGCAGTAATACCGAACAGGGTCTGGCCTTGACATGACAGTACCGAAATCAATTACCTGGCCTGCTTACCGGGTCAAGCGCACACAGCGCGTATCAAGGTACACCTACGTAACGTATTCACATGCGCATATACCTCCGGCTGTCGACCAAGGCACTTGCTAACCAAAATTGTCATTGCAAACCTCCGCTGTGGACTGGGCTGGGCCGGCCAAACGCCAATCTGCTCACCAAGCTGGGCATCGTGGCCTCCCTACCAATCACAAACCGGCCGGATTCCGCCCCTCCCTCACTAGCTTCATCAAAAGCAACTGTCACGCACAACAAAGGAGAGCTTGCAAATACTTACACTTTGGGGTATCCACAGTAGTGTCTCAGCTGACGGAACTGCGCTCCATTTCAGCCGCTTACCATTGAGCGCCTCTGCATCCAGCCCCAGATAACAACCGCCCACGGGACAAGAACGAGTGCCACCAAGCCTTTCCGCCCCTTGCAGACCAACTCGGTGTTAGTACTGGACCAGTCCAACACAAGGCGTCTAGCGAGCTTCTAGGGCCGGCCATCCAGGCCGCAAATCCATCCTCTGTACCAGAACTGAGTGCGGGATCTCCACAATGTCCAACAGCGGACCTGCCTGACGAGGAAATGCTGGCGGTTAAGGCTGCCGCTGGCGAGTCACGCACCTGGTCGGAGATATGGCGCTCGCCACCCTATTCGTTCCAGCCGAGGAAATTTTGCCGCAAAATAATTGCACCACTCACAGCCGTCAACAGCACGTCGTGGATTGTGGAGAGACCCTGACTCCACACTCAGATCGCCGCATAGATTGCTCAAACAAGTTAGCTTGCCGCACACCGGGGAGTCCCATAGTACCTGTTTGGTCGGAGCCAGGTGTAAAGAGGAAGTGTCTCCGATCCGATGCGGCTCTCGGAACCAAAGACCAGACTATTGCTTTGGCCCTCCCTTCCTCAAAGCTCACGCAAGGAAATTTATCTGACCCGAATGCGCCGATGCAGACCCGTCTCCAGAATATCGACCATCTGTCCTTTGCATCGCGTCTACCACCGGCTAACTATTCAACCCTTCGCCGCGCTTTGTTGGTTTTAGCACCTTCCCCATTGACTCCACCTCCGCGTGCAAGGACCGCAATACCGCAATACCGCAATACTTGGTCGATGAATAAAGGAATATACTTTCTAAAGTACCTGTTGAGGTTCCCCGCATTTGTGCAGCACACGGGATGCAGGCCTCTAGCACAACGGTTTCCATCTAAACCCAACATCATCGTACCGGGCTGTTGGTACTCTGCCCTAGCGACTACAACCGCGTCGACGCCAGCAATATATTTTGCAGATCACACACGCCTGAATAGCAATATAAAGTGCTTAGTGAGGCCCTGCGCAAGGGCGACGCACAATATATTGCAGCTTTGACCGCCGGTTCGTGAACTACAGAAGGGTCTCACATGTGAGCTCGATGAGCATCTTTGCCATGACAATCGACCAACCTGTACACTGCAGATAGGCATCTCTTCTGTCCACATGTCGTCTGTTCCCTGCTAGAATATTGGATTTGGCATTCCGCTTCAGCCATTCCACCGACATGAAGCCGTGCCAAACCACTGCCTATCTTGCAGTCACACTCTCTACGTCACATGTCGAAGCCTGGCAATGACGCACTTGAAAAGTCTCGACTTCTCACATGTTATCCACTTCCAAGATTAGCGTTTGGCTCGGACAAATGTCATGGCGTGGATCAGGACATGCGCATCAAGTTACCCTTGACAAGCAATCAACCAAACCGGCAAGCGATCGCGCATTGTGTGGGCATCGCCAGTCTAAATCAGTATCGCTGTCTGAGTCAATCAACCGCACTCTCCCTTATCTCCACGACTCCATACCCGCGGGGAGATACGTATACCTTCATTTGGACCGTTATTTATCCGTCCAATATTGCAGATAAGCGAAGACCATCCACGCGGCGCAGCGCATTCAAGCAGGATTGCTTATGCTGTCTGTGTGCATGCGCCCGCTGCACAGCTTCCAACATGCAGGTCTCACTTCCACCTCATATTGATTAACGTGGGGGGGGGGGGGGAAAGAGGCTATTCATGACAATGTACCAAAGTATTTCTAGACGACATGTCGGTGGCCCGAGGATATTGCACCGGTTTGCTTTCTCCACCACCAATATAAGGATAAAAAAAACCAATAAAGAAAAATCAATATCACGAAACTGCCGAGTCCGGCTGGGCTGTGAGGCGGAATAAAGAAGTGTGTAGGGTTTTGATGGTGGCCAAGGTGCATGTTGTTGAGCTCTGGCAACTGTTTCTGTACCTGCATGCCGTCAGAACATCATCATCAAGATCGTCCACGGAGAACAAACACAGCACCACCATCACACCACCACATACGTTTTGTGTACATACGTTAATAAGCTCTCGCATACGTACCCCGATTATCAATGTATCCTTTGCATGTCTTTTCTTTCTGCGCCTGACATGTGAAACCAATTGTGGACCCCACGCAAGCAGTGCACGCGCACTTGAACTATGACCAGAAAAAAACAAGAAGTACACCAGGAAAGCCACTAACGACCCATCACGGAGCGGAGTAGGAAACAAACCCCAAAAGCAATCAAAAAAGTCGGCTTTACTTTACCCCAGACTCCAAGAGTCTTGTACCCTTATTCTTCCTGTCTTTTCCCGCCGCACGTCCCCGATGTGGAGGGACAAAAGAGCATGGCAAAAATAAAAGTGGCATGAGCACCGGAGAGAGAGTCAGAGAACAAGGATCCGACATTTCTTCCGTCCCGCACATGCTTCCCCTCCAAAAAAAGCACGTCTGTGTGTCAGAAAATTATTCCGCGTAGCCACCATCTCACACAGGCAGCATGTCTCTTTACGGACAATCAAAAGTCTGTTTTTTTGTTGAGAGTGCTCATGCGTCACGGCGTGTTCTACTTCGAGTTCCCTACAGGTACATGTGCGTACGTAGTCTTAGATATTATTACCCGCGGTATCTCGGACCGGCTTCGACACCATCCAAAGCGGGTCCTCGGATGAAACAAAGCAGCCAAAAGGAAGGAAGCATGGACCTCGCTTAGGTTAGGGATGTAAGGGTACTTTGCATGAATTTGTTAGGTACATTGCTTGGTACGGCTATTGCTGTTGATGGCACCATTGGACCCATGAGGGACCGACCGTTTTTGGCTCCCGCGGGTCAGCGTTCAAAAGGTTAACCTTGTGTTCGGTAATTTGTATGCGGACTAGTGAGAGGGGCTGAAGCGGGATTTTTTTTTTTCGTTGGAGGTCGGAGGATCTGTTGGTGGTTCGAGGGTGAAAAGGCGAGGTCCGAGGTACTTTAGATGGGGGGGTAAAAAGGCGCGGGCGAAGCACGGGGAATGCAGAGACGTTGGGGATTGCGGAAGATAGCCACGTGCGATTTCAGCCGCGTTCTTTTGGCTCTTGGTTTGGTGGGCCGGTTTAGTGCTGGTGCTGATGGCGCCTTTTTTTTTGTGTGTCGTACTTTTTTTTGCGGCTGCGGAAAGTCGTAGAATAGAAGGTGGGTAGACTTAGTGCTGTCTGCAGGGGGAAAGATGATCGGTGTCTTCGTGTAGGATATACACAGGAGTTTAGGTATCAATATGGTAAGAGCATGTCGGACCTGTAACATCTGTAATGCGCTTCTGCAGTAGCTATCACTCTTCTTGTTTTTTCTTTTCGTATTTCCATCTCACTCTCTTTCTTGCAAAAAAACACGGGGTCCATTACGTACACTTCCCATAAGGAAATTACAGTTTCTCTTTTCTTCATGCTCCCTAGACACACACACACACTCACTTTCCCTACACCACCTACATCATCCTACACACAATGATGCATAAAGAGAAGAAAGAAGAAGAAAGAAAGAGAGAAAGAAAGAAAACCCACGACCCCCACTCAAAAAAGTCGGCGCATCTCCAATATGTGGATCTTTTTCGTTGCACTCGTACCCCCTTTAACCCTCCGAGATACGAGGGAAAAAAAGAGTCCCCATTTTAACGCACGTACACACGCACCCCCACATTCCGACCTTGTTAATGTTACTCCACAATGCATCCATGCGCATCAAAGCGGCCTGGCGCCAAAAAAAAGTGACCTCCCCTCTATTCTCCACCAAGTAGAAACAAACTAGACATGATACCTCTTTTTACCAACCCACTCGCGCCCTACTTTACTTTAGTATCAAGTAGCCTAATTAATTATACCCACTAACACCAAACTCCGCTACTACTAGAGTAAAGTAGTTTTACTTTACCACGCCTAGCTAATCTGCCTATTACTCTCCCCACCCCTTTTGGTCACAGTGCAAATGTCCCAAGCCACTTAGCCACACGACTACCCAGTTCTTGAGGTTGAGGGGGTTTTTTTTTTCAAAGGTAGTAGTTAAAAAAAAAGTTAGAAAAAAGATCTCTCTCTATCACACGCATATGCCCCTTCCCCAACTGGAGAAAGAAAGAAAAGTCCCCACAAAACGTATCTTTCTCGGTCATTTTGCGGGGTGTGCGCGACGACAGCGCTCCCAATTGACGCCCGATACGAGTATCGCAACTATTTTTTTCTCTCCCTCTTTTTTTTCCTTGCTTGAACAAAAGATGGTCGGATCGGATGTAGGTAGATGGGGCTTGTGGGTATGTGGGTGAGAGAGCAAGTTAGTGGGGGTAAATGTATGTAAGGTGAAGGTTTAGTGGGGTAAGGAAAGGGAATAGGTAGGTGAGATTGGGATGTGGGGATGGGAGATGGAAATTTTGCTTGTAGGGGTTTTTTTTGTGGTTTGATGAGGGTTGGCAGGGATGGAGTATATGCATAGGATAACGAGTGCATGTTGCTTTTTCTTCTTCTTTGCTATGAGGTGACTGCAGTGGCTTTCTTATACATATGGGTAGCGTAGTGTGAAGGGCTGCTTGGGACACCTCCTGAGTAAGTATGATGTTATACATCCTACAATGTGTGATGGGTCAGTGTATGGAGTTTGGTAAGCTTGAGTATTTTTCATAGCTCCGTGTATAGACTTGGGTATGTTTAAGCTAAAACGCAGTTACAGTGTATACTAGTACGAGAGTGCGTATACGCAGTGGTCACGAACATCATGGAACCTCGCTACATCTCGAGTCAGTAAAATGTTTACATCTACGATGACTTGTCACTTTTTCGACTGGATATGTTTATCTACACAAGAGCAGTGGAGATTGACGACAAACTAATGTCTGACAATGTCTTCCCCCTTGCGTAAAACCGGCCACGAGAATCTCTTTGGTTTATCCATTTTCACACGTAACAAGACATAGCTGTATTCACACAGTGGATTCAGCAACGAGCAATTCCGTCCCGGCTTTCCATTTGTGGTAATACCGCTTGGATACGAAGACAACCAGCATCAGTAAATTCGGATCTGCTTCTCCACTTCTCTCCATACCACAAGACGTAATGGTATACCCCTTATCTCACGCTGTGTACGCAACACCATGCAGAAAAAGCAACACTGTATCCTTCGGTTACGAGCGCCCCGCATTAATGTCATTTGCCTCAGTAGCCATGAACTAGTTGGTTCGACGCTCGACGCCTAATTCCCACATATTATCCACCTGACACTTGCTAATCCCAATCACCCACCTGAAAGACGTCACGTCGACATAGGATACATCATATCCCCAGACCACCAACATCTCGCACTCGTATCACGATCCCCCGCATCAGGCGCCCTTAGAGCAAACGAAGATCCTGGCCACTTTTTCGGCTCAGCACTATGTATTCCGGAGAG